GACAGGCAGATAGACACACAGACAGACAGATAGCTAGACAGGCAGATAGTCAGTCAGGCAGATAGACAGACAGCTAGACAGGCAGATAGACAGGCAGATAGACAGACAGCTAGACAGGCAGATAGACAGACAGGCAACCACACACACACACACACACACCACACACACCACACACACACACACACACACACACACCACTATGGGTCGACCCAAGCACATTATCGATAGATCGCGTGAGTCCCCCCTTCCTTTCTTCCCCCTTCCCCTTCACCCTCTCCCCCTACACCTCTCTCCCCCTCCCTCTAGTAACTATGCCCTTCGCTTTCATTCTATATCATTTTTCTCATTCTCTTTTCCCCTCCTCCACTCTTAGCTCTTTTAGTCTCTTTCCCCCCCCCCCCTCTCTCTCTCTCTCCTCTCTCTCTTCTCTCTCTCTCTTTTCTCTCTTTCTCTGAGGAAGGCGAGGGGGAGGAGAGGGAAAGAGGAGGGGAAAGAGGGGAAAGGAAGGGTAGGGGAAGGGGAGGGGAAAGGGAGGGGAAGGGGAGGGGAAAGGAAGGGGAAGGGGAGGGTTTTGAAAGAGGGAGGGGAGGGGGAGAGGGGGGGAGAAAAGGAGGTGGGGGGGGGAAGGGGAGGGGGAGAAAAGAGGTGGGGGGGGGGAAGGGGAGGGGGAGAAACATGAGAATCAGTTTAACTGGATAACGAATTTATTGATGAGTGAAGTTATTGAAGTGTGTTTAATTCTTAACAAAATTTTAATGAATTTTATTATTATTATTATTATTATTATTATAATTATTATTATTAATATTATTATTATTAATTTTTAATTTTTATTATTATGTCTTTTATCATTATTTTATTATCTTTTTCTTCTTCTTCTTCTTCTTCTTCTTCTTTTTCTTCTTCTTCTTCTTCTTCTTTTTTTTATTATTATTATTATTATTATTATTATTATTATTTATTATTATTATTATGGTTTTTATCATTATTTTTTTCTTTTTTTTTCTTCTTCTTCTTCTTCTTCTTCTTCTTCTTCTTCTTTCTTCTTCTTCTTTCTTCTTCCTCTTCTTCTTCTTCTTATTATTATTTTTATTATTATTTATTATTATGGTTTATCTTTTTTTTATTACTTTTTTTGTTTTTTTTTGCTTTTCTCTTCTTTTTTTTTTTTTTTTTCTTTTTTTTTATTATTATTATTATTATTATTATTATTATTATTGGCTTTTTTTATTATTTTTATTATTATTTTTTATTTATTATCGTTTAAAATTCATCATTACATTATTAATAAATTATATCAAAATTTATATCATCATTATATCATATCACATATCTCATTCATTATCATCTTATTATTCATTTATTATTCTTTATTATTCATCAATCATATTATTATATTTTTATTATATATATAAATCATCATCATTAATATATTATCATATTTTTATAATTATCATCATCAATTATTATTATAAAATTTAATTACATCAATTAATTTTAAATCATCATCATACTTTATTAATTTATTATCATTATAAATCATTATATTATCAAAATTATTATCATCATTATTATTATCACTCATCATTTATCATCATTATAAATCATCATCTATTTTTATCATTATAACATCATTATTATTATCATATTTTTATCACATTATTATATATCATCATATTATAATCATCTTTACTTTCATTATATCATCATAATCATCATCATTATCATCTTTATCATCATCATTCATATATCATCATTATTATCATCATTATCATCAATCATCAAAATTTATCATATCATCATATATATCATTTATCATAAATCATCTTCATTATCATCATTCATTATCATCTTATCAAAATCATCATTACATCATATCATTATCATATCATAATCATATCATCATTATCTTTCATCATCACATTATCATCATCATCATCATTATTCAAAATTATCATCTATCATTATCATCATCATTATCATCATTATCATCTCATCATTATCATTAACATCATCATAATCAACATCATTATCATCATCATCATTTATAAATCATCATCATCATAATTATCATATCATAACATCATCATCATATTATATCATCATTATAAAATCATCTTTATTAATTATCTTTATCATAATCATCATCATTATCATTTTCATAATCATCATCATCATTATCATCATCATTCATTTTAATCATCATCATTATCATCATTATAATCATCATCACATCATCATCATACATCATCATTATCATCATCATATCATCATCATATCATCATCATTACATCATCATCATCTTTATATTCCATCATTCATCATAATCACATTATCATCATTATCATACATTATCATCATCATATCATAAATATCATCATCTTTATCATCAATAATCATCATCATCATCATCATCATATTCATCATCATCATTATCATCATTATCATCATCATTATCATAAATTTCATCATCATTATCATCAAATCATCATAATCATCATCATTATCATAATCATCATTATATTATATCATAATTAATTATCATCATATAATTTATCAAAAATCATCATCATCACTTTATCATTTATCACATCATAATCATCTTTTCAACACATCATTATCATCATCTTTATATAATCATCCATCACCCATCATTATCAATCATCATCATTATCTTTATCATCATCATCATCTATCATATCATCATACATCATCATCATCATCAATCATCATCAACACATCATATCATCATCATTATCATCTTATCACATCATAATCATCATTATCATTCATTATCAATCACATCTTTTCATCCATCATCATCTACATAATCATCACCCCAATTATCATCATAATCATCATCATAATAATCATCATAATCATCATCATCATATCATCATCATCATCATTATCACATCACATCATTACATCATCATCATATCATCATTATCATCATTTATCTCTTTTATCACATCATCATATCATCATCTTTCTTTTCATCATCATCATCATTATCATAATCATCATCATTATCATCATCATCATCATCATTATCATCATCATCATCATCATCATCATTATCATCATAATCATCATCATTATCATCATCATAATCATCATAATCATCATCATTATTATCATCATAATTATTACAATTATAATAATTCCTGACAGAATATATTCCACATAAATAAAACAACGCAGCTGCTGACTTTCTTGAATAAAATTTTAAATATATTTTTTTCAATCAGAATAATTCACTTTAAATTATCTTCCTGTGGTGATTATAGCTGGAATAAATTAGTTAAGTTTATTCTCTTTAATTGATACCTCAGGTTTATTCTCTTCCTCTCACCTCCTTCCTCCTTCCTTCCTTTCCCTTCTCCTTCCTTTCCTCCTTCCTTCTTCTTTCCTCCTTCCTTTTCCCCCTTCCTTCCTTCCTTCCTTCCTTCCTCCTTCCTTCCTTCCTTATTCCTTTTCCTCCTTCCTTTCCCTTTCCCTTTCCCTTCCTTCCTCCTTCCCTTTTTTCCTTCCTTCCTTTCCTTCCTTCCTTCCTTCCTTCCTTCCTTCCTTCCTTCCTTCCTTCCTTCCTTCCTTCCTTCCTTCCTTCCTTCCCTCTTTTCCTTCCTTCCTTTCTCCTTCCTTTTCCCTTTCCCTTTCCCTTTCCCTTTCCCTTCTTCCTTCCCTTTCCCTTTCCCTTCCTCCTTTCCTTCCTCTTCCTTCCTTCCTTCCTTCCTTTTCTTTTTTCTTCCCCCCTTCCTCCTTCCTTCCCTCCTTCTTTCCTTCCCTCCTTCCTTCCTTCTTCCTTCCTTCCTTCCTTCCTTCCCTCCTTTTCCCTTTCCTTCCTTCCTTTTCCCTTTCCTCCCTTTCCCTTCCTTCCTTTTCTTTCCTTCCCTTCCTTCCTTTCCTTCCTTCCCCTTTCCTCTTTCTTCCTTTTCCCTTTCTTCCTTCTTCCTTTCCTTCTTCCTTCCTTCCTTCCTTCTTTCTCTTCCTTCCTTCCTTTCTTCCTTTCCCCCTTCCTTCCTTCCTTCCTTTCCCTTTCCTTCCTTCCTTCCTTCCTTTCCCTTCCCTTTCCTTCTTCCTTCCCTTCTTCCTTCCTTTTCCTTTCCACCTTTCTTCTTTTCTCTTCCTCTTCCTCTTCTTCCTTCCTTCTTCCCTTTTCTTCTCTTTCCTTACTTCCTCCTCCTTCCTCTTCCCTTCCTTCATTTCTTTCCATCTTCCTTCCTTCCTTTTCCATCCTTCCTTTCCTCATCCTTCCTTTTCCTCCTTCCTTCTATTTGTCTTTCCTTCTCCTTTCCCTTTCCCTTTTCCCCCTTCCTTCCTTTTCCTCCTTCCCTCCTTCCTTCCTTCCTTATTCCCTCCTCCTTTTCCTCCTTTCCTTCCTCCTTTTCCTTCCATGTCCTTCTTTTTTTTCTCTCTCCCTTCCTTCCTCCTTCCTCTTTCCTTCTTCCCCTTCTTCCCTCCCCTTTCCCTTCCTTCCTCATCTTTCCTTCTTTCCTTCCCCCCTTTCCTTCTTCTTCTTCTTCTTTTTCTTCTACCCCTTCTTTTTCCCTTCTTCTCCTTCTCCTCCTTTCCTCCTCCTTCCTTCACCTTCCTTCCCCTTTCCTTCCTCCTTCCTTCTTTCCCTTTCCTCCTTATTCCTCCAATCCTTACTTTCCCATTTCCATTCGGTTTTCCCCACCCCCCTTTCCTCAATTGTCTTCAATCCCTCCTTCCTCCTTTTCCCTTTTGGAGCCCGAAAAAGTTTAATCCAGAACAAACCCGGGTTTAAACCTGATTTAAACCCAGGGGGCAGGGTTTAAGGCCTTCGTAAAAATTTTAAACAGGCTTCTAAAGTCCACTCATACTTTACCATTCTCAACCTCTACCATTTTACCCCTCCCTCGTCCAGGTTAAAATCCAAGGATCTCAAAATATTGTTTAAAATTAATTGCAAAAACACAATGATTATTTCAATTTCCTCTTTATTCATCTTGAACCCTTTAACCCTTTTTTCCCCCCTTTGGACGTGAGAGGGAAGATCAAGGTCCTTCACGGCCAGAACAGAAAAACAGAGGAGGCACCTCTGGCGCTCTTCGCCGTGTGTACGCCGTTCGGTCCGCCCTCCCTCCTGGAGTTACCTCAGAAGGAGGTCATGTACAAGTCCAAACATAAGCTTGACCTCTCCCTTGTCTCCATGGACCAGAAGTAAGTACCAGGTCACAGGTCACTGTAAGCAGGTTACAAGCCTAGATTACAACTCCAGGGAAGCAGGTTATAAGTGCCTGTAAGCAAGTAACAAACCTTTTAAGCAGGCTTCTAATAGTAACCAGCTAACAGGTACTTGTAACCAGGTTACAGGTCCTCGTAACCAGGTTACAGGTCCTCGTAACCAGGTTACAAATCCATGTAATTCAAAAGTATTTTGTTATTTTTAATTATTGCAAAGAGACAGCAATTGTATAAATGATGGTGCAAGTGTTTCCTCTTTTGGTTCATCTTGGTGGGAGACAGTCAGAGTGGTGAAGCAAAAATGTGCACTAAATGAGACGGAGGTTCGAGCTTCCATGAGTGGGGACTGTATCGGTGACCTCACAGATGGGAGCCGCGGATGTCACCACCCAGCCACGGCAACGCAGCTCTCAGATTTACAACCGAGAGGACCCGGGATTAATCCCGGGCGGGGAGAAACGCTAAGGGCGATTCTCCTTTCACTTGCTTTCTATTTTACTTTCTTCGTACGAAGTTCGGACCTGAAGAATAATGTTTTTTCTTCGTCAGAAATCGTAATCCATGGGAGCCATGGTTCACTGAATTATCTATGGTACCATGATCTTCCTCCTCTTCCTCGCCCCTCACTTTTCTTCCTCCTGCCCTTCTCCTCCTCCTCTTTTTCATTCTCCCCCTCCTCCCTCCTCATTTTCATTCTCCCCCTCCTCCTCCTCCTCCTCCTCCTCCTCCTCCTCCACCTCCTCCTCCTCCTCCTCCTCTTCCTCCTCTTCCTCCTCTTCCTCCTCTTCCTCCTCTTCCTCCACTTCCTCCTTCTCCTCTTCCTCCTTCTCCTTCTCGCCTTCCTCCTCCTTCCCCTACTTCTCCTCCACTTCATCCTCCTCCTCCTCCTCCTAACATTTACGTGTCGCAGTGCTGACTGGTTTCAAAGAATACGAGAAAACAAATCTTTTTATTGCTAAATACCTGAAAAGAAAGAGAGAGATAGATAGATAGATAGATAGATAGATAGATAGATAGATAGAGAGATAGAGAGAGAGAGAGAGAGAGAGAGAGAGAGAGAGAGAGAGAGAGAGAGAGAGAGAGAGAGAGAGAGAGAATGACTCACGAGTCTGTCTGCCTCCATGAAAGGATTGGCTCTCTATAATACCACACACACACACTGCCTCCTGTAATCCCTTGCAGTGGTACCAGAGAAGGATTACAAATCCCCCTACCTAGCCTCCCCCATCCCTTCCCCTTCCCCCCAGTTGACTTTCCGCTTGTCGTGTCTGGCAACGCTGTTTTTCGGGTTGGGTACACACCTAAAACTTTCTTAAGAAGATATTTATACATATTTTTTTGAGTTAGAGGGGGGGAAGGGGGCTACGACATTTAATTTTACTTTGGGTTTAAAAAAAATGTTTTATAATCTGTGTTATCAGCTGTTTTATAAGCTTTCTTTCTCTAAGCTGTGTTCCCGAGAGCTTAACAAGTTCACTTGTGAAGTCTGGGTTAGAAAAACACAAACACAAACGGTGTTTGTCGAGAAATAAGACGAAAATTTGTTGCAACCTTGTTTAATATTGTATGTTGACATCGTGCACTGTATTAATAATTATTACAGTTATTATTATAAATATTATTATTATTATTATTATTATTATTATTATTATTATTATTATTATTATTATTATTATTATTACTATTATCATCATCATCGTCATCATCATTTTTATATTCCTGATCTCATTCTTATCATGGACTAAGGTCCTACCGGTAAACACCGCAAGAGCCGCATACATATGTATGTATATATATATATATATATATATATATATATATATATATATATATATATATATATATATATATATATATTATATATATATATATATATATATATACATCATATGTATGTATATATATATATATATATATATATATATATATATATATATATATATATATGTCGTGCCGAATAGGCAGAACTTGCGATCTTGGCTTAAATAGCAACGTCATCTTGCCATATAGGACAAGTGAAAATTTGTGTATGCAATAATTTCGCCAAAATCATTCTGAAGCTAACGAAAAAAATATATTTCACTGTGTTTGTTTAGTTTAATTATTGTAAACAAATCTAAAATATATTTAGTTGAGTACGCAATTAAAATAATTGTTCTTGTTATAATAAGGTTAGATAAGTTTTCTAAGATTCTTTTGGTGCAAAATTAAAATTTTTGCATTAACATTAATGAAAAATATATCTTAAACGTGTAAGAGAAAATTTTAGAAAGGACTTAATTTTAAATGTTCTTGCTAATGATCAGTTTACATATTCGGCACGACATATATATATATATAATATATATTATCATATATAATATATATATAATAATATATATATATTATATAATATAAATAAATATATATATATATAATTAATTTTAATATATATATTATATATATATTTTAATATTCATACATATATATATATATATATTATATATATATATATATATATATATATATATATATATATATATATATATATATATATATATATATGCATATGTGTGTGTGTGTGTTTGTGTGTGTATGTGTGTGTGTGTGTGTGTGTGTGTGTGTGTGTGTGTGTGTGTGTGTGTGTGTGTGTGTGTGTGTGTGTGTGTGTGTGTGTGTGTGTGTGTGTGTGTGTGTGTGAAAAAGGCCCACATATTTCTTAGAAAGCCATTCTGGCCACTTAAGTGACTGGAACCAGACACAGAGCTGTGGTGTCCACCTCAAGGCACACAGCCACGACATGTCATATGTGTGAGTGCCATGGAAGTATTTGCACTTTCGTCAGCGGCACTAAGGGCCGAGAACATCATAATAAAATACATGGCGAAATAAAACTATGAACTCTATACAATTATGAAGTCTCTCATCTTTAAACTATGAACCATATTGTTGATTAGATACTTGTCAAGTTTACATAACCCGGGGCTAACCTTCAAAAAATTCTGGGCGTTATGTAAGAAACAAGAAGATTCAAAAATATTATGCCTAGTACATAAACTGCAGGGAATTAATACCCTTGTGAGGTCTCAGTCAACCACATGACCTATGTCCATCATATGGACATATTTATGTTGATTCGTGAAACCGTAATAGCACGATTAGTAACAAACTATGGTACGGGTAGGGTTAGAACCCATGGCGAGTGAGTCGTAAAACTCCTGGCCAGTGTGTAAGCCACTTGTTCTAACCTCACCAGTACCGTGGTTAATGTTTATGATTGTTTCAAGCGCACATCCGAGGATTTCCCAGTTTGGCCCACGTAAACAGTGTCACATTGTTTACAAGGAACCAGCTACCTCTACCACCACTAACTACCACCAACTACCACCACCACCACGACCCACTCAAATTGCATATGGCCAGCAGCAGTTCAGTGGAGGACGGTAATACCAGTCATAGCATCAAGAATTTATATTTTTTAATTGGTGCTAGACTGTATTCACATATTTAACAAAAACGACGACTATGGCGAGGTGCAAAAAGTTCCCATCACACGGTAGTGTCAACACAGTGCCCTGTTTACACTCAGCTCTTGGAGATATTCAATAAAATGCTCTCCTGGCTTCAGCCAAAGCATTCTTCATCCAGCTATGTCGGTATTGGTCTGTAATTTCGTGCGTTTTATTGACTTCACTTCCATAAAACTCTTTGCGCGCACACACACACACACACGTAGTGCACGCAAAAACACTGAAGTGAACTCTGGCATAGCTCTGTTGGACAGCACTCTCGTTCTTCGATGTTTCGAGTGGAACGAAGAGCTACGATACCAGGTCGGACCGGAACGTCTCACTAGGTTTCAGTCTGCTACGTGCGGGTTATATTCGTGTGATGTGTTGGGTGGTTCGAGTAATAGTGAATATAAGAGCACACTCTGATAGGTTCCCTATACATTAGTAGCTTAAATACTCGACTTCTTGCACGAGCATGAGTGTTCAGAGTGGATGGCTCCATCTGTTGCATGTTCAGTTGTAACTTTAATGGAGGGAATTCAGTTGTTAAGTCTAGAGAGAAAATCATCAAGAATTTCCTCCTCCTCCTTCTCCTCCTCCTTCTCATTCTTCTTCTCCTCCTCCTCCTTCTCCTCCTCCTCCTCCTCCTCCTCCTCCTCCTCCTTCTTCTTCTTCTTCTTCTTCTTCTTCTTCTCCTCCTCCTCCTTCTCCTCCTCTCCCTTACACCGTTTATGTGTTCCCTACTCTTTCTAATTCTCCTCTCTCTCTTCCAGACATCGTTTATTTGTCTCCTACTTGTCTTATTCCTCCTCCTCCTCTTCTTCCAGACATCGTTTATCTGTCTCCTACTTGTCCTCTTCCTCCTCCTCCTCTTCCTCCTCTTCTTCCAGACATCGTTTATCTGTCTCCTATTTGTCCTCTTCCTCCTCCTCCTCCCTCTTCTTCCACACATCGTTTATCTGTCTCCTACTTGTCCTCCTCCTGCAGACACCGTGTACCTGCTGGAGGGTCGTCAGGGCCTCACCCAACATGGAGGCTGATGGTCTCCTTAATTAGAATAATTATCTTCAGTGTGGTCAGACCTGTGTTGTGGTGATGGCAAGGGAGGGGAAAGGGGTGAAGGGGAGGGGAAGGGGTGAATGGGAGGGGAAGGGGTGAAGGGGAGGGGAAGGGGTGAAGGGGAGTGGAAGGGGTGAAAGGGAGGGGAAGGGGTGAAGGGGAGGGTGAGAGAGGGGGGGGGAAAGAGGGGAAGAGTAGCTAAGATACGGAGAGGGTGAGTGGGTGGAGGGGAGGCGATGAAGGAAGAAGAGGCGAGAAGAATTGGGAAGGATGGGGTGAGGTGGGGGAGGTGGGGGAAGAAGAAGGTGAGGTGGGGAAAGGATGGAGTGAGGTGGGGAAGGATGTTTATTGATGAATAAGACACATGTACAACACCTGGGTCTCTTTATTGATGAATAAGACACATGTACAACACCTGGGTCTCTT